TTTTCTCTGGTACCGGGAACCGAACTCACGACCTTGCACTTGCCAGGCAGGCGCTTTTGCCGCTGAGCTAAATCCCCAGCCCCAAGAGAGATTTTTGACTCAAGATTATTTCTAGTTCAAAATTTGTCTAGTCCTATGGCCCTGCACAAACAGTGTCCAAGACTGTCAGAAAAGAACATTTTCCAGCTCCAGAACTGAAGGCGAAATCTATTATACCCGGCTCTGCCAAGCATTCCAAACTCCTCGGCAAAGGACGGGCTCCCCGTGCCACAGCCAGCACCAAGGGCCCGGGAGGCGCTAGCCCCGACAGCTCTTGGCCACCATATGGGACATTCTGGGAGAGCTGCAAGGGACTGAACTTTGTGGGACTGATGGGGAAAATGTACTGACTGCTTGTAAAACCACAAGTGACACTTTTCTTTTGGGAATATGTCTTACGGAACACACATACCCAACTCTACTTTTTTCTGGAGAGGAAAACATGTCTTGCTTGTTTCAACACAAACTACACATATCAATTAGCAAGTCCTTCAGTGTACAACTCGCTGAAGTCCCCACAGCTTTGATGTAGACAAACCCTAGTCTCTTCCTGACGCCACAGAATCACATGTTGAAAATGCTTTGTCCCAGTCTCTGTCTCCATTCGGCAAGTGTTTAGCAAATGTGGGGCAGAATGTATTCTGTGTGTCTTGTGTGCCTTCAAGGAAGCCTGCAATCATTAGTGCTTGGAGATCCAACACTGACCTTACTTAATTTATACCTTGAGAAAAAGGATATGGGAAAAAAAAAGACAGAAAACTAACACTGGTGTTGTAACAGAACAGAAAGAACATGTTCTTCAGAGCTAGAAAACGGGGTTCTAGCTCTGTCACCTACTTGCAGCTCTGTCACCTTGTACAAGTAATGTAGTTTCTTGGACCTCAGCTTCTTCCTTTCTAAAACGAGGATGAGACTAGTCTCATATAATTGAATCATTAACTAGGGATAAAACAGCTACTATTTATTAAACACTATGTGTAGTGTTTACTCCCAGTACTTTATGTGCTATAACTTATTTAATATTCACAGTAACACTAAGGAGGAGGTTCTATTATGATCCCAATTTCACAGTGAGTACTCTGATGTACAGTAACAGCCAAAATGGAAGCCATTACTATTAACAACCATGATATCATTAATGCTGTGATGTAAGAGCATTAACAGCTTTTGATGAAAGGAAATAAAACCAACAAGAATTTCTTCACTTAAAAGCAAGATTTGTGTAGGGAAACACAGTAGAAGTAAGATAAATGCTTCTTTAGTTTTATTTCCCCCCCCCATGCTTCTTTCTCCA